AGATCGACCAGTTGCTGCAGTGATTCCTATTGATGGTAGGGATAGACCAGAAAAACTACAACCCACGCAGGAAGTTCTAGAATAAAAAGTGAATTGTTAGAGTTCAATTAAAGCACTGTGACCAATTAGATATATATGACAACCAATTAATTCCATTACTGCTAATGTTTCCTTACAAAGTTTGTTAGCTTCTTTCAAATTCCATAGAAGGCGTAAGGGTTGCCTCCTAGTTCCTTGTTATTTGATAATCCCTGATAAAAAAAATGCTGAAGATCAAAAAAAACTATAAACATAAAAAGTTAATTTCTTCATTCAAAAATGAGATAACAAAATCCAAATAAATATACTTAAGAAAAAGATAGGCCCTGTTTGCCACAATCTAAATTAGAATAACCAATTGATGAAGAAATAATTATGAGACTTACAGAAATTCTGTAGTCTGAGAAGGATGAGATATCTCCAGACAGTTTGTCCTGTCAATTCCCATGCTTGGCAATTTTTCTGCAATTAAAAATAGTCAGGCAATCTTAAAATAAGCGACAACAATTATGTCAGTGGTGATAATCAAAGAAGGTGAACTATTTTACATGGAAGTCACGCGTTGACCAGTGCACCCATGCCATCCCATTCTATCTCCACAAGGATCTGCACCCACCCCCAATTTAAGGTTGGTGTGTTTCTCATTGAATCCTTTTAAAGCCTTCAGCGCAGTTGCTTGCATCAACAGTCCACAAGTCATTAGCCATATGGAATTCCCCATTGTTCGACAAATGATTTTAGAATCTATAGAAAACCGAAAATCTGGTTTTTACACAGTTTACAGAGGAAATTTTCTGCGCATAATTGCATAACTTGTGAGATTTGTATCTTCGATTTACATGCTTTATAAAGTTAGGGTTTGGTTGTGTAACTCAGATATGTGTGAATTTCAGATATAAAACTATATATATTTAACTCGGCCAAATTCTTTTTTCTCCAGTATCTCTTGATTATGAATTAGACACAGAAAACCAAAAAAATTAGAATCTTTTTCAGTTGTAAAAAATTATAGATAGTTAAGAAAGGCCCTTTGAGTTGCCATTGAAACCCATATATGCTACTTTTGATAAAAAATATATAAAAAGAAAGAAGGTAAAAAAGAACATAATTTCTTGTGAAATAACCAAACCAAAGAAAGTAGAGAATACAAAACTGTAGTGAATTACAATCTTGACTGTTAGTCAGTGCTGCTATCCGGTAAAAATTTGGGGGGGAAGCAACAAGCAGGAATGTCAGAATTCTTGGAATTCATCTCTGAGTAAAACCTCAAACACCTTGTGTTTTCAGTTTGATTATTTTTACAACCAGAAAAAACCCATTTAGCAAAAAGCAACTAAATTTCCAGTAATACGGTAGCAATTTGCTTTTCCCCAAGCTATATCTTTGTTGTATCAGAAAATCAAACCATGTGAAAGGTCTTAAATTTTGGAAACTTTTTGCTATATGAAAAAAAAACATGGAACCATTACATTGACTAATTACCCCATCTATCATTATCCATGTTTTAAAAAGGTACACTTGAAAGGTTGCCAACATTAACAGAAAGTTAATATATATAATTAAATATCTGTTTTTCAGATAATAAAAGAAAAATATATGAAGCATATATATCAAAGGAAAAATGATGAAGCCAGCAAAGTGGGTCTATTGGATTAAATAACCAAATGAATTTTCACCAAGAAAAGAAAAAACGCATTTTAATAAAATATCTATTACATGTTGGAGATCTCCTTATTGGTAGGTTTTAACGCTTTCTCATATTTTTTCCGGTTTTCTCCATTTTTTGAAGTTAAAATGTATAATGACAATTAATAGCACAATATGAGTAGGTAGTAACAGAATAGAAAGTGGGCCATTCAATCTTTTTACCTGCTTGGTCCTTACATTAAACTAGTCATGGACTCATGAAATTTCCGCTAAAAGTTCATTTTTCAGAGTAAGCATCAAAACTTCATAGAAGAAAGATACCTAAATTTTAATCTAAAAACTTAAAATTAAGAGAATATATAATTTGTTTAACAATAACACGCTAAACTTTCATTAAACTGTTTCTACTTTCCACCTTTTCTTAATCTGTAATGGATAAATCATACATACAAACATATAAAAAAGCATGAAGCTCCCGGCTATACACGGAAAAGGCGGTCGAACTGGAGAAAGAATGTCCGATCCACTTAGAATCTGATTATGTTCACACACTAACTTTCATATATTTGTATTAACTTCACCTTTAGGCTAACTTGATGTATTTAATAATTTCATCTAATCATAATAATTCACCTAATCAAAGGCTTGCCACCGGTTTCAGTTTAGAATTGGAATCCAGGTTGGAACTGTCAGTTCAAAATTTTAAATTAAAATTCGACGGTTCAAAGAGCGATTAAAAGTCATGATGAACGTGAACCGATTTGAACATCATTATAACTCGTGCGGTTCCGGTTCCGATTTGAACTGAAAAATCTATTTTTATTTTTTGAAAATTTTATAATAACTAGTCTATTCTATATATTTCTAAAAGTCTAAATAAATACTATTATACATAGGATACTTTGTCTTAAAAATTATTACTATTTGATACAAATGGAGTTTAAAATGTAGTTTTCCTTTCTAATTTTTGTTACTTAGTCTAAAATCAACATTGAGTGAAATATTTTTTCAAATTTTTCTTAGCAATTTATTTAAGTTAAAAACATTTAGAACAAAATAAAATCATAATTTATATGATAATTTATAACTATTTTGTAAGATTTAAATAAAATTTTATTTCTTATGTAATATTAGCATTCTAAAAAGTAATTTAAAATTAAGAATTACTTATATTTTTCAAATTCACCTTTTGATTCGGCTTTCCATGGATCAGCAAACCAATTGGCCTATCTGAATTTGGACCCAACATAAAATTTGCTTCAAAAATTTGAATTTTTTTACAGTTTACCCCTTCAACTTGTACCAAAAATACCAAAATGCCCAACTTTATCCCAGATAATAATTAATTTAATATAAATCAAATACAATTTAAAAAGTTAATTAAATATTTGATCTAATCAAGATAATAATTAAAAAACAACTAAACAAAAAAATAATATATTTTTTCTAATCAAATAATTTTCAATTATATTCTAATATTTTTTTCTAATTCTATAATTTTTTTAAATCAAATACTTATTAAATTAATTTTAAATTCAAATATGTTAAATTTTATAATTATTATCATATTAAGTACTTTTTTTATTTCTGATTTTAAGTTTATTAAGTAAGTTTTATAAAAAAAATTTTAAAAAAAAAACTTGGGCATTTTGTTCTTTGGGCTGCAAGTTTCAAGGAGTAAATTGTATAAAAGAAGTCCAATTTTTAAGCAAATTGTATTTGATGCCCAAATTTAGAATGCAAATTGAATCTTATTAACATTTAATTTTGGAAGTCAAAAAATATAGTCCTAGAACCATAAAACTAGATAAAAAAAAATGCCTTGAAAAAAGCTCAAAAAGCTGACTATTCAATTCAGTTTCGTCTTTACTTTTGAAACTTTGGTTTATTGTTTGCCCTGATCAATTCGGTTTGGTTCGAATTTTGAAAACTCACATCTTGGGATTTACTGCCTATGAGATTTATTCGAAATGTAGAAATCTAAACCAAATCCTCCAAATTTTAATCCTAAGTGGTAGGGACACAAATGACAGAACATACATCTCAGGTTCAATTAGATTCTCGCAACAGGTGCAGAGAAATACCAGTACATTTTTATGGGAATTCCCCTGTGAAGGCTTCAGCCTTTCCATTCCTCATTAGATTCTTGAAGCCCATGTAAATAAAGAAAAGCAAAGTTTGATAAAAAAACTGAGAGAAGCAGGAGCTGTTTAAATAGAGGCAGTAACCTCTGAATTACAAACTAACAAAATCCCTTAAAAACAAAAGCTAAAGAATTATTCAAATTAGATCGTAACAAAAACTGCCAGGTTAGTGACTTTTTGAGATAAAGACCTCAAACTCAGTTGCAAAGAACCTTATTATCACAAGAATCTCTAGAACCAAATATATGTCAGTTGGGAAGTGGAAAATACAAAAACAGCCTTATTACTCCTCAACCACCGTATATCTCTGATTTCTTCAACGGGTGAATTGAAACTATTGGACCACACTTGTAACACCTTTATTACCAGTTGTGGTATGCTGAACATCCCCCCTCAAACTTGGCCCGAGGTGCCGAGGTGAAGTTGCTGTGGAAAGTTAATGCAAGGGCAGATTTGTGAATTGTTTCATTGAAGATGTAACAGTGATCTGTTGTGTTGTTTGGGAACAGCTTGGTACCTAAATTTCCTTGTGCCACACGTTTCTGACTAAAGTGTAGTCCAACTCGATTTGTTTACTTCTGGCATGATAAAAACAGGATTTACTGTAAAGTAGAGAGCACTAAGGATTATCACAGCAGAACCAATACTGAGGGATTTGGTGAGAGGAATGGCAAAGTCTTTGAGGCAAAATAAGTAAGCCCAAGTCAATTCTACAGCGGTGGTGCGCCAGTCGCCCCGAATACTCAGCCTCATACTGGACTTTGGGAAACCGTGTGTTGTTGGTTGGGCACACATGAAATCAAGTTGCTGCCCCAAAAGGTGCAGTAAGCCTGTAGTTGAACGACCGCGTGACCGCGGACAAACCCAGCCAATCAGCATCGGCAAATCCGCTGAAGTTGCATGCGTTTGAGTGAGAAGTAAAATACAAGCCATGTGTTAATGTGCCCTGCACATAAACGGCTTAAATTCGATTGCAGAAAAACTTCATTGAACAACTGTGGGATCCTGCATATAAATTGAGAAACAAATGTTGACAGCAAACGCCGAATATCTGGTCGGGTTAGTGTCAAAAGTATTGCAAAGCACCAAACAATACTTTCTGTAGAGTGTTGCATCAACAAGAAGAGCAGCGCCTTGGTGACAGCGGCTTAAGCTCTAATGGATCGTCATAGCTCTAATGGAGTCGTCATGGGCTTACTATCAAGCATGCCAAACCTGTCCAGTAAAGTCAGAGCATAATGAACCTGATTTAAGTGTAAACCATCAGCAGTGTGTGTGACTTCAATGCCTAAAAAATGATGCAACAGACCCAAATCTTTCATAGCAAACTCATTACATAATAATTGAACAAAATCATCAATTAATTCAGCAGAAGAACCAGTTAAAAGCATATCATCAACGTATATTAGTAATGTAATTGTGCCCCTATTTGATTGAAAAACAAACAAAGACGGGTCTGCTAGGCTACACACAAACCCATATTGAACCAAAAAACCACTTAATCTATCAAACCAGGCCCTGGGAGCCTGTTTTAAACCATATAATGCTTTTTGCAGCTTGCAAACATGAGTGGGAAAAAGCGGGTCAGACATACCTGGCGGCTGATCCATGTACAAATCTTCTGTGATGCGACCATGTAAAAAAGCATTTTTTACGTCTAGCTGCCTAAGTCAGACATACCTGGCGGCTGATCCATGTACAAATCTTCTGTGATGCGACCATGTAAAAAAGCATTTTTTACGTCTAGCTGCCTAAGCTGCCACTTACACACCAACGCAATAGATAAGACAAGTCGTATGGTACCTGGTTTAATAACAGGAGAGAATGTCTCTGTGTAATCTTGACCAGCAACTTGGTGGAAGCCCTTGGCTACCAGCCGTGCCTTCAACCTATCCAACGAACCATCTGCCTTCAGTTTGGCCTTAAACACCCATCTGAACCCAATTATATTCATGTGTGCCTGTCTCGGCACCAAAGTCCATGTCTCATTTTTATGTAACGCAGTAAGTTCTTCCTCCATAGCGCGTTTCCATCTTGGATGTAACAACTCTTGCTTTACAGTCCTTGGTTCTTTCGGAATTAAAGGATTCATGGTGGTCAACAGAGCATAACGCGGATTTGGCTTAACAATTCCTGATTTCGACCTTGTTGCCATCGCATGTCGAGGAGCTGGTGCTGCGACAGAGACATCTGCTGGAATAACTGTAGTGGATGAAACTGCAGTAGGAGAAGTAGGACGAGTATTCAGAGTGGAATCATCATCAGATTGAGTTGGAACTTCGATTTGCGGTGGTGCTGAGTCTAGGGTTTGATCGGACCGTGAAGGAGCAATTTGTACAAACGCATCAGGTTCAGGTACAGGAGCGACGGTCAATTCGGTGGGCAAGGGTGACGGCAGCAGCAAGTTTATTATTGGTGATGGCGGCGGCGAATTTGTTATGGGTGATGGTGGATTTGAAGGTTGACTGCTTGAAGCTTGAGACGAAGTGGGAGTCTGTGGTGTTGCGGGTGTGGAATTGTGAAGTGGAGGAGTTATGGCGTGAGGCAAAGTCATAGGGAGTGGTATATGTGGAATTTGTTCTGTGCTTTGGGTTTCAAAAAAGGTGTCGGCTTGGGTTGGTGAAGTCCAATTGTCAATAATTTGACCTGCATTTCCAGTGCTAGTAATTTGTGCTTGAGATTTATATGGAAAGCTTTGTTCATCAAAAACGACACTTCTGGAGATTATGTACTTCCGCTGTTGAACGTCAAAGCATCGGTACCCTTTATACTTTTCACTGCAACCTGCAAAAACGCAAACAACAGATTTAGGATCAAATTTACTCTTTCGTGTATCCCATATATACGGGTAACATTTGCACCCAAAAACACGTAGAACAGAATAATCGGGATGTTTTTTGTGTAAAGCAAAATATGGTGAGTCAAAGGATAGAGATGCAGAATAATCGGGATGTTTTTTGTGTAAAGAAAAATATGGTGAGTCAAAGGATAGAGATGATGACGGTAATCGATTTATCAGAAAAACTGCAGTACTAAAAGCATCTAACCAAAATGACAAAGGAACCCGACTATGAAATAACATAGACATCCCTAATTCATGAATTATACGATGCCGACGCCCAACCGATCCAGTTTGTTCAGGTGTGTAGGGACATGAAATCTGATGAATTATGCCATTTTGAAGAAAATGTGTTGTCAAAGAATTATTTATAAATTCACCTCCTCCATCGGAGTGGAATATTTTTATGACAGCATTAAATTGGCGATGAATATATTTTTCAAAGGCAAGGAATGCTGAATAAAAGTCTGATTTAGCACGCAGAGGAATTAGCCAGATATATTTGGTACAATCATCAACCAAACAAGCGTAGTACTTAAATTTTTCCAAAGATAAGACTGGGGCTGGCCCTCATAAATCGCAATGTATTTTTTCAAAAGGAATAGTAGCAGAATTAGAACTATGCAAAAAAGGAAATTTACTGAGTTTCCCCAGTTGACAACTATCACAAAAATCTTTTATTTTTAATGGACCATTGACAGAAATTAGGCCCTTATTATATAAATTATTCAAAGCAGAAACTTGTGGATGTCCGAGCCTCTGGTGCCAGACATCTGCACTGCACAACTTAAACCGAATTGAAAAATGAGTTTCTGGATTGCTTGCAATTGTGTATAATTCACCCTTCTTTGGACCCTGCATTATCATTGCTCCTGTTTTCCGTTCCTTCACAATAAACGATTTGTCAATGAATTCACAATTAATTGGAAACTGAGACGTTAACGTACTTACTGACAACAAGTTCTTTTTCAATTGAGGAACATATAAAACTTCTGATAAGGGTAACAAATTATTATTGTTTTTAATTTGAGAAGTACCAATGCCAACAATCGGAATCAATGATCCATCACCTACAATTACCTTATCGCTACCTGTATAAAACTGTAAATTGGAAACCATATCCATTACCTGCCATATGATTTGTGGCACCAGTATCTGACGTCCAGTCATGGTCGGCAATTGTATTGTCCAAGGTCAGTGTTGCTAGCGCTTGCGGAAGATCATTTGAGGAAGAAGAGGGTGAATACCACCAGCATATTTTGGCTATATGTCCTTTCTTTATGCAGATTTGGCAAGTCTCATTCTGATACAGCTCCCTTTTTGCAGCAGTCATTCGTCGTTTACCAAGTGGAGCCGGACGTCGTGGTTGTCCAGTGTAGGCAGGCGAGGTCTGTGCTTGAAACCCGCGTCCTACTGAAGAAAAATTTGGGCGATTCGATCGTGCTCCGCTGGACTGGGAACTCTTCTGTTGTTGCGTATAAAACGCCAAATGTGGGCTATGAACCGAAAGCGGGGGACTTCCATTATTAGCGAACCAGGTCCGCCGTTGGTCATGGTTCTGTAGATGAGCAATCAATTCTGTGTATGTTGGTCTTGGGGGCTTCAACATAGTTGTGGTAAAGGTCTCAAATTGGGGACCTAAGCTTGTCAATAGGTTGTATACTTTCTCTCTATCTGAAATTGGATGCCCAATTGCTGCTAAACTGTCGCAGATGCTTTTGAATTTGCGAATGTGATTGTTGATATCTACGCTTTCCTCTTTGCGTAGATATGTTAACTGTTGGCGAAGTGTGAATTCCTGTTCCTGGGAAGCCTGAGCATATGATTCTTTCAACGCCTCCCAAACAGCGTATGCTGTATCGAGGCCAATTATGAGTCCAAGGGACTCTTCTGACAATGTGCCGATTATCCAACCGCGAAGCAATCGATCTGATTTTTGCCATGCGGTGAAATTCTGAATAGCTTGGTCCGTGGCCTTATCAAACCTGGCTGGGTTTGTTTGAGGTTGATCAGTGAGATGTGTGAGGAGATCTTGGCTTTCGGCTAAACCAAGAACTTGTTCACACCAAAGGAGATAGTTGTTTGAAGTTAATTTTAAGGTAACAAAGTTACCTACATTCAGAGATAAGGAAGATGAAGCTGTCGAATCTGATTTTTTGCATGCGGTGAAAATTCTGAAATGTAGCTTGGTCGGCGTGGCCTTATCAAAACCTGGCTGGGTTTTGGTTTGAGGTTGATCAGTGGAGGATGTGTGAGGAGAATAGATGTGTGAGGAGATCTTGGCTTTCGGCTAAACCAAAGATGTGTGAGGAGATCTTGGCTTTCGGCTAAACCAAGAACTTGTTCACACCAAAGGAGATAGTTGTTTGAAGTTAATTTTAAGGTAACAAAGTTACCTACATTCAGAGATAAGGAAGATGAAGCTGTGAGAGCCATGAAAATTTTCTGGATGCTTAGGCTCTGATACCAAAATAAGAAAAGCAAAGTTTTGATAAAAAATTGAGAGAAGCAGAGCTGTTTAAATAGAGGCAGTAACCTCTAATACAACTAACAAATCCCTAAAACAAAGCTAAAGCATTATTCAAATTAAACCTTAACAAACTGCTAGGTTAAGTGACTTGAGATAAGACCTCAACTCAGTCAAAGAACCTATAGCACAAGAATCTCTAGAACCAAATATATTCAGTTGGGAAGTGGAAAATACAAAAACAGTCTTATTACTCCTCAACCACCTTATATCTCCTGTATTTTCTTCAACAGGTTGAATTGAAATATTGGACCACACTGTAACACCTTATACCAGCTGTGGTATGCTAACAAATGTAACCTATCAAGTCCGATTCAATTGTTATCCAAATGAGAAAAAATTATCAAGCCAGAAAATGGTAGAGGGTTCCGCTCTCCCGAGGACTTGTAGGCAAATGCAAAAATGAAATGTGACGATGCTCATTGTGTTCTATGTTTTAAGGTGGAAAGTCCCCTCTATAATAGAATGCAACTTTGTTGTAATTCTCTCTGATTTATAATTTTATGCTCATGGCGTTCAGCTATGTAAACAAATTTCATATTTTTGGTTAGTTAAATATTGAACCTGGTAATCGAAAGAAAGCCGGCAATTTAGATGACATGTTGTAAATATATTTGTTTTTACTTTTTAGCTTCTTTGTCCATAGTATGGTTTTATGCGATGCTTGAAACTAATTTTTCTTGCATAAGGTTAGTGAATTGGACTGATTCTTGCTTGCCCTTGACGGCAAAGACGTTTGGTTTGGGAGGGTTTGCTCCATAAAAGATGGACCCATGACTTAAGTCATGTTGATCAACCCGGCAAGTGCTCGTTGCCACTGAGTTACCAGATTTCTAATTTTTATTATTACAAATAGAAACATCAAACTAACTATTTTATTATTATTATTATTTGGATAAAAAGAAATAATTTTAATTATTGCACACTTGTATATATCACTTGTTAAAATAATAGCTTGAAGCAAATCTCAAGGCTGGATAAAAAGAAATAATTTTAATTATTGCACACTTGTATATATCACTTGTTAAAATAATAGCTTGAAGCAAATCTCAAGGCTTATTGGTAAACATGAATCGCTTTATCATTAATGAGAAGCGAGCCAAGATCCGGAGTGAGTGGTAATAAGAATTGAAATTTTCATCCTCAATATATACCAATTGCTAAATTCCTGAAAGTCCAAACTGGCCGGTGATTCACACTCACCAAAGCTTCTACAAGAACATGCAATCTTTCTTTCTCCCCTTATTCCCTCCCTTTCATCTACTTTCTATCTTCTTTCAAATACTATACTACTTCTAAAGTGGAAGAGAAAGAAAGTGAAAAATGGGAACTGGAGCTGATGATTACCAGAAAAGGCATTCACATAATCAACAACTCCACGCCAAGTACAAGCTCAAGATGCTTGTTCTTGTAATATTAACCAATCTTTTAACTATCTATATCTTCGCTGGCCCTTCTTTGATCCTGAAACTACCTTCCTACACTAATCACATCCCTTTCCCTATCTGGGATTCCAATCATCTTCTCCAAGAGCTCAACTCCACTAAACAACAACTTGCTACAAGTTATTTATTGCTTGATGAGTTGCACCATAAGCTTAACTCCACCAACTTGCTTGTACAGCAAGCCATAAGCTTAACTTCCAGCCAACTTGCTTGTTAGCAGGCGGCTCTAATGGAACTAAGTAAGCAAACCTGTTCAAGGACTCGTCATGATAAATAAATGGATAAATTCATTAGTTGATGGTTTTTGTTTCTGAATGAAGGGTTATGTTAGCAATAGCCCCTCATAAACTCCCACTTGGTTACTCTCCCAGGACTGGCTCCGATGAGGTCTATCCGCCGGTGGGTGCAGGCTGCCTGAGATATCAAGAAGAGTTGACTAAGTACATGAGTTATGAGATTGGTGGAGAATGTCCAGTAGATGATGTTTTTGCTCAACGGTTGATGTTAAGAGGATGTGAGCCTCTTCCTCGCCGGAGATGTCGCGTTAAGTCTCCGGCTAACTACGTGGAGCCAAACCCATTACCAGAAAGTCTTTGGTCAACTCCACCAGATAACAGCATCATTCTTTGGTCAACTCCACCAGATAACAGCATCATATGGGATCCATATACCTGCAAAAATTACAAATGCTTGATTGATAGAAAAAATGCACCAGGTTACTATGACTGCAAAGATTGTTTCGATTTACAAGGAAGGGAAAAGAAAAGATGGATGTTTGATAATGGAGGACTTGATTATGGAATTGATCAAGTACTTAAAGTAAAACCTCAGGGAAGTATTCGTATTGGACTTGACATAGGAGGTGGCACAGGAACATTTGCAGCAAGAATGAAAGAGAGAAATATTACTATCATTACAAGCACAATGAATCTTGATGGTCCATTCAATAGCTTTATTGCATCGAGAGGATTGATTCCAATCCACCTCAGTGTTTCACAAAAAGCTTCCATTCTTCAAAAACACCCTTGATATTGTTCATTCTATGCATGTTTTAAGTAATTGGATACCGGACACAATGCTTGAATTCAATCTTTATGACATTTATAGAGTTTTGAGGCCTGGAGGACTTTTCTGGCTTGATCATTTCTTCTGCTGACATTTATAGAGTTTTGAGGCCTGGAGGACTTTTCTGGCTTGATCATTTCTTCTGCTTTGGATCACAGTTGAACCAGACTTACATTCCGATGATAGATCGTGTTGGATTCAAGAAGCTGAGATGGAATGCAGGCATTAAGCTTGACAGAGGAATTCAAAAAAATGAATGGTATTTCTCTGCCCTGTTGGAGAAACCAATGTCCTGATGAGCAGGTAAAAATAGATGTAGAATATTTTGTATGCTCTATCTGGGAAATAGAAGGGGAAAGAAAAGAGTAGTGAAAAATAAAATCTGTTGCAAATCTAAACAGGAAGCACACAAACAACAAAAAATCTGTCTGTCTTACATTTTTTTTTTTCTATCAATATCAAAAGCATCACTTCTGCTACATATTCACAAGCAAAGAACTCAATTGAATTACATGCTTTGAACAATAAAAGAAAACTCAGAACAGATTTAAACACTCCAAACTGTCGGGAATATCAAAATTGAAAGGTAATAATAATGTTCATTGTGGCTCTATCTTTGAAGGTGGAAAGCCCCCACTATAATCGAATGCATCTTTGCTGTAAGGATGACTTCCCTTGCCTGCTTCCTCGTAACTCGCTGAAGTAGATGCTGATTCAGCATTGGGGTTTAAACCAGCTAGCTGCAAGATATTCTCTATTTCTTTCACTACCTCACCCATGAATATTCTCTATTTTCTTTCAGCTACCGTCACCCATTGTAAGGTCTGTCTGCACCTGATTCTTGTAGACATCTCATTGCAAAGATTCCACAAAACTTAATCTAGACCCTTTTAATGTTGTTTTCTAAGACCAATGCCTGGGTCAAGTTAGTTCAATGGAGGTTTATATAAATCCTTTTGTTTTCTATCCATGTGCGCAACCTTACCTCCCTTAACTATGTAATGTCCGCGTTCTATTGGTCTTCTTCCAGTTAGAAGCTCCAACATAACAACTCCAAAACTGTAAAACGTTCAACTCGTCTTTCTCCGTTAGTAGGTCTGTCTGCACCTGATTCTTGTACACATCTCATTGCAAGATCCACAAACTTATCTAGACCCTTTAATGTTGTTTCTAGACCAATGCCTGGGTCAAGTAGTTCATGGAGGTTATATAAATCTTTTGTTCTATCAAGTGCCAACCTTACCTCCCTTACTATGTAATGTCCGCGTTCTATTGGTCTTCTTCCAGTTAGAAGCTCCAACATAACAACTCCAAAACTGTAAACGTCACTCTTCTCCGTTAGCTGCTGTGTCATGTAATATTCTGGATCCAAATAGCCCTAAAAAATGTAAAATAAGTATTTTCAGCTCCAACATTTACATGGGCTAGGAAGATGGTAGCTACTAGCTAAAATAATTGTTTGCATAATTTTTCTTCTTAACTCCATTTTCTGTTTTTTTAGCTTGCATTTTTTTCAACATCAGAATGAACTACAATTTATAACAACATTGGTAATTCTTTTAAATTCTCATTATTATCACAAGATACATTAGAGTATTTTTCGTTAGAGGAAGGTATGGAGTAACTGACGCATTGTTCTTTTTTAACTTGAAGTAGTAACATGACCTTTTCGGTGGTACAACAGGCCTTGGGAGAGACGGCAAAATCAGCATCTTTTTGCAAAACTTTTGCAATTAACCGTTCATCCAGTAGAATGTTGGTGTCCCTATGTATAATAGGAGGGTCAGCAAGTTCATGCATATAGGCCAGACCTCTTGCTGCACCAAGGGCTATTTTAAGTCTCCTGACCCAATCCAACCTGATTCCTGTCTTCCCTGCTTGGATGGTAAAGAAGAAATAAGGGATTAGCATCCTTTTAAGGAAAAAGGCTTAGTCTCCCAATAAGTTCCAATGAGCAACAAATGTTTATAAATTTAATTTCTCATGTGATTGTTCATCCAATTGAAGTATTTGCAGGGTTAACAAAAGTACCTGATAGACTATCACTGAGACTACCATTCGGTAACAAACTCATACACAAGCATTTGTTCACCTCGCTCAAAGCAAAATCCCAGAAGGCTTACTAAATTTTTATGATGAACTCTGGATAGAAGTTCAATCTCATTTTTGAACTCTACCCCACCCTGCAATGATCCTTGTTGAGCTCGTTTGATGGCGATTAGTTGTCCAGAAGGAAGGTTTCCTCTGTAAACCTGTAAACAACAGAAGAAATTATTGATTCCCTTATAATGAAACCTCGTATTACTAATTTGATTACACGGTTCAGTAATTTATTTAGTAGTCAAAAGTTAACCTTTCCATAACCCCCGGATCCAATATCATTGGCTTCTGAAAAATTATTGGTATATCTCTTGAGCTCTTCAAAAGAAAAACATTTGGCTGCTTTTATCTTTGGAATATCAGCACCACTGTTCTTAGTTGAATCCCAATGTGCTACAATTTCACAATGTGAAGTAACAAAGTAAATCCGAGAGATTCCATTTGAACTTGAGAATACTAAAATTGAAAAGTTGTTCAAAATCTTGTACCAAAAGGATTGTTCTGTTCGGTTGCTCTTTTTGCTTTCTTCTTCTGACGATAAGCATAAAGGCCTGCTAAGATTATAAAGGCTGCCTAAGATTAATGAATAGGCAAGAATAAACAGAACAACCAACTATAAGCTCCAATGAATTATTGCAGTGTTTGATTTGCTTGATCCTATATCTTCCCTAAATGAAATTAGAGGTTGTTTATAAGAAAGAAAAAATAATGCAGCATTTCTTTTTTTTAATGCATGCATGAAGTGGGAAATACGAGGAAACTACTTGTAATCAATCTGCAATATAATAGAATAGTAAGGTCCAAACATATGAGGTGGCTTGAAAGTCTGATTGCTTAGCACAAATCCAATACCAGAAATAATTGTTCGATTAAAACGATCATGGCCTGATGGAAAGATTTTCAGATTCAAATCAAGATACAGAGATGAATCCTTTCTTGGATTACTTAGAGAAACTGAATCCACAGGAAGTTGATTGGACCTAAAAGAATCCATCATTTTTTGCTGAAGAGATGTGTAAGTGGTGAAGTTTCCCAAGTCTGAGAATGATGGAGCCCTGAAAACTAGAAGTCCTGTGTACGGATATGAGCATTTACAGTTAGGACTTGAAGTTTTATTTGCAGTGCAAGAAGCAGGCACACAATTATTTGGTGGTGTTGAATATGAAGAACCAGGTCGGGGAATAGTGCAGTAAGTTTCTGTTACTCCTGTTTCATCACAAACTGGGTTGCTCACAAGGCTGCAAGTTTGAAAAGATAAAAAAATCATAAGAAGCAATGAACATCTCGAGGAAGTTTATCTTAATTTTAAGTTCATTAGTAGTATAAGAGTCAAAAGTTTGGAAGAACATGACTTACATGACAGCAACTTGATTTTGTCCTGGTCTTTTTGTGTAGGCAGAAATGAAATTAGGCAGAAATGAAATTTTTTCGCAAATCAACAAGTTGTAATCCATTACCATAGGTTGTTCCGATATCTAAAGAGCCATTAAGCTGGTTGTGTTGTTCCGATATCTAAAGAGCCATTAAGCTGGTTGTTACTTAATACCCTATAACCAGAAGTCAAAACAAACTATAAGCAAGTGCATTGTAATCCGATAAATTATATATAGCTGCTTGTTTCTATCAAATCCCTGAAAAATTAACTAATTGCTTTTTCATAGAGACTCTTTGGCATTTCATGAAAGTGAATGTTGGCTGATACTCACACAGTCTGTAAACTGGGAAGGCTGAAGAAGTTAGTTGGAACCTGTCCCTGAAGTTGTACGCCCTCCATCGTTCTGCCATATAAAAATTATAAATTATGGGAAGACCAAAACAGTAAAACCCTTTTCAACTTGATTCATGCACAGCCTGAAAAAACCCATTTCTACCTTTCTGTTCTTGAACTGATTCCACATCAACTTTCATTCTACAATTCTGAATGTTCTATAATTTTTTATCGTACTGCTAGTACCAAGTCTTGATTCTACAAACATCGATCCTTTTCCTACATACCTTGTCATTCTGAGTTGATAATTCTCATAAATCCTTTTTCTGAATTGCAAGAATGTATTATCCTTAATGTTGAATGTTGGAATTTTATGGAAATTTGGTTTACACTACGACAAGCTCTTGGTTCTTCATTGGTATTTCGGTTCTTCTCATCATATTATACAGGCTTTGGAAGAATGTAAAGGGTTTTGTGTCCAAGCACATCAACAGAACAACAAAACCAAGCTGTTTAATTCTTCATTAATCTTATCCTCTATGTGATGATTCATAAATATAAGCAAGGAGTGTGGTGGGAGGAAGAGAGACATACAATGTTGTCAAAGATTGCAAGGTTGAAATCCAAGAAGGAAATTCTGATGCATCAAAACTATTATTGCTGATGTCCCTGCATGTCCAAAAAAAGAATAAAACTTTTTTTTTCCCTACTAATATAACAAATTATATTAATAGACACATAAAACCTTACAAGTAAGTGAGCAAATTCATCCCAGTGAGGTTGGGAAAAGGTCCTGTCAATTGATTGTTGGATAAATATCTGAAAATGAACAACAAGGCACTCTTAACAGAGTAAAAATCCAAATGCAACCATATCAATGAGTTCAATAAAATCATTATGAAAGCTTTAATTCTCTTCTGTTTACTTACAAATCACTAACACTGGTAAGATTGTTGAGGTTCTCAGGGACAGGACCTGTCAATGAATTCCTATCAAAGCGTCTGTAGGCAACATAATACATTCAGGACAAACTTGATTGACAGAAATGCCAACATTTAAAACTCCCAAGTTTTCGATACAGATACTCACACAACCTCCAAAGTCTTTACAAGGCCAACAGAAGAAGGAATACTACCAGAGAGGTTGTTGCTGCCAAAAAGCCTGCCCAAACAAAAAGAAGAAATAGAACCAAGAAATAATTTGTATTTCTTCAGCAACTTATCATCTTCCCCTAACTTACAAATGTATGAGAGTCATGTCTGAGCTGAAAAGTTGAGATGGGATTGGGCCAGAGAGCTGGTTCTCTCCAAAATGACTGTTAGTAAGTTCTACACATATTAGTCTTCATAAAATGACTTAATAAAAACAAAAGAAAGTCCAATCAAAAAAGTTTTGACATACAAGTGTTTTGTATTAACTAGCATATCAAGACCAGGTGTAGTCCCTGTGGAGACTGGGATGGGTCCATCAAGCTTATTGTCAGCTAGATCCAGCCAATAAAGCTTAGATAGAGTGCCAATTGAAGGTGGGATTGATCCACTCCACTGAAGCTATTAGAATTTAGAGATCTGCAGTTAATAGCAATAAAGATTTTTCAGAAATTTTGGTTCAGACAGGAACAGCACCACAAAACAAGTTAAAAAGGAAAAATAGAAGAGGCAAAAGGCCAAATATTGGATGAGTTCTGAGAATTTCAAATGCTTATGCAGAGGAAACAAAAGCATTCAAGATTCATCCAACTAGCATAAGTTTTGCAAGTTGAGATCCTTACAGAAAGACCAGTTGCTGCAGTGATCCTATTGAAGCAGGGATAGGACCAGAAAAACTACAATCAAGCAGGATTCTAGAATAAAAAGTGAATTGTTAGAGTCAATTAAAGCACTGTGACCAATGAGATATTTATGACACCAATTAATTCTATACTGCTGCGTTCTTACAAGTTTCTTAGCTTCTTCAAATTCCCAATAGAAGGCGGAAGAGGTCCTCCTAGTTCCTTGTTGTATGATAGATCCCTGATAAAAAAAATGCTGAAGATCAGAAATAAACTATAACAATAAAAAGTTAATTTCTTCATTCAAAATAGATAACAGAAATAAACCATAACAATAAAAAGTTAATTTCTTCATTCAAAATAGATAACATAGATTCAAAATCAAATAAATATACTTAAGAAAAGATAGGCCGTTTGCAAATCTAAATAGAATAAGAATTGATGAAGAATAATTATGAGACTTACAGAATCTGTAGTTCTGAGAAGGATGAGATATCTCCAGACAGTTGTCCTGTCAATCCCATGCTTGGCAATGTTCTGCAATTAAAAATAGTCAGGCAAATCTTAAAACAAGGACAACAATTTGTCAGTGGTGATAATCAAAGAAGGTGAACTATTTACATTGAAGTCACGCGTTGACCAGTGCACCCTATGCCATCCCATCTATCTCCACAAGGATCTGCACCCACCCAATTAGGTGGTGTGTTTCTCATTGAATCCTTTAAAGCATTCAGCGCAGTTGCTGCGTCAACAGTCACAAGTCATTAGGATATGAATTCCCCATTTGTTTGACATGTATTTAGAATATATAGAAACCGAAAATCTGGTTTTTACACAGTTTACAGAAGAATTTTCTGCGCATAATTGCATAACTTGTGAGATTTGTATCTCATTTACATGCTTTATAAAGTTGGGTTGGGTTGTGTAACTCAGATATGTGTGAATTTCAGATATAAAACCATATATATTAACTTGGCAAATTCTTTTTGGCAAATTCTTTTTCTCCAGCTTATAATTAAGTATCTCTGATATGAATTTAGACCCAGAAAACAAAAAAATAGAATCTTTTTCATTTGTAATAAAATTATAGATAGTTAAGAAAGGCCCTTGAGTTGCCATTGAACCCATATATTCTACTTTTGATAAAAATATATAAAAAGAAAGAAGGTAAAAAAGAACATAATTCTTGTGAAATAACCAAACCAAGAAAGTAGAGAATACAAACTGTAGTGAGCTTACAATCTTGACTGTTAGTCAGTGCTTCTATGCTAAAAATTTGGAGGGAAGCAACAAGCAGGCAACAGGAAATGTCAGAATTCTTGGATTCATCTCTGAGTAAAACTCAACACTCTGAATGTCAGAATTCTTGGATTCATCTCTGAGTAAAACCTCAAACACTCTTTGTTTTCAGTTTGATTATTTTACAACAGAAAACCCATTTAGCAGAAGCAACTAAATTTCCAGTAATACGGTAGCAATTTGCTTTTCCCCAAGCTATATCTGTTGTATCAGAAATCAAACCATGTGAAAGGTCTTAAATGGAACTTTTCTTTTGCTATATATAAAAAAAAAACATGGAACCATTACATTGACTAATTACCCATCTTGCAATATTCATGTTTAAAAAAGTACAACTTGAAGGTTGGCCATGACATTAAACAGAAAGTCAATATCATAATTAAATATCTTTTTTTGCAGATAATAAAGAAATATATGAAGCATATATATATATCAAAGGAAAATGATGAAGCAGCAAAGTGGGTCTATTGGTGGGTTTTCGTTCTCATATTTTTCTCCTGTTTTCTCCATTTTTGAAGTTAAAAATGATATAATGACCAAGTAATAGCACAATACGAGTAGGTAGTAACAGAATAGAAAATGGCATTCCAATCATTTTACCTGCTGGTCCTAACACAAACTAGGTCATGACTCATAAAATTTCTGCTTAAAAGTCATTTTCAGAGAAGCATTCAAACTTCGTAAGGAGAAGATACCTATATTTTAATCTAAAAAAAAATTAAGAGAATATATAATTTGTTTAACTATAACACGCTAACTTTCATAAACTGTTCTAACTTCACCTTTTTCTAATCTTGTAATGGATAAATCATACATACATACGTACATATATAAAAAGTAACTCAGTGCATGAAGCTCCCGCTATGCACGAAAAGGGTCGAACTAGAGAAAGAATGTCCAATCACTTTGAATCTGATATGTTCACACACTAACTTTCATCTATTGGATTAACTTAACCTTTTAGGCTAACTTTGATGTATTGTAATAAGTTCACCTAATCATAATAAGTTCACCTAATCAAAGGCTTGCCACCAGTTCAGTTGGAACTCGAATCAGGTTGGAGCTGTCGGTTCAAAATGTTAAATTGGAATTGACGGTTCAAGGAGCGATTAAAGTTCATATGAACGTAAACCGATTTGAAATCATTAGTTAACTCGTGGTTTTGGTTCGATTCGAACTGAAATCTATTTTCATTTTGAAAATTTTATAATAACTTAGTCTTCTATTCTATATGTTTCTAAAAATCTAAATAAATATATTATTACATAGATACATTTGACTTAAAAAAACTAAAGTAAAATAAAAAGCAAAATACTTTGTCTAAAATTATACTACTATTTTGACAAATGGGAGTTAAAATGTATTTTTCCTTCTAATTTTTTTTTTTTTTTTTTACTTTTTTTTTTACTTAGTCTAAAATCACATTGTTTGAAATATTTTTCAAATTTTCCTAGCAATTTATTTAACTAAAAACCTTTAGACAAAATAAAATCATAATTTATATGATAATTTATATCTATTTGTAAGATTAATGATTTTTATTTCTAATGTGAATATGAGCATTCTAAAAAGTAATTTAAAATAAAATTTACTTATATTTTTCAAATTCACCTTGATTTTCTTTTTTGAAAAGACATAACCCTAAGATTGAATTTCTTTTGTTTTTGAAAAAATAATACATATATCACCAAAATCATAAATAAAACCGTCGATTCATTGAAGATTCATACGAAATTCGTTGAAACATAAATTAGACCTGAAGTAGCAATTCAAACATCGGCTCGAATTTAAAATTTTAAAAATTTTAAATTATCGATTCCGTGAATTGAAATCCGCATTGCCTACTTAATTCTAATCTTACAATAGATAAAGATAAGTCAGATATGAAAAAAAAAAAAAAAAAAAAAAAAAGCAACTCTGTACATGAAGCATCCGCTATTTACGGAAAAAAGATCAGACTAGCGAGATTTCTAAATCACATGGTGACAACTCTACTATTAGCTCAAGGCTCCCTTCAGATAAATGATATACACTGCTAGAAAAACCTATAAATTAGAAAAAGAAAATTAACATTATGATCCAATCATCCAATCCAAAATTGTGAATCCAAATTTAGGGTTGGCAATAGGTTGGTTTGCGCCTGTGCCAACACAACTACTGTACTATGAGCCCGAGGTGCCAAGCAAGCCACAAGCCTTGTGCCTTTTCTTTTTCTACTTTAATTCAGTAACAGCTTTTTTCCAGTAGCTTTCTTTTTTTTTTACAGTTTTTTACACTTTTTCTATTATCTTTTTCCTCCATCTGTTAGATGGTTAGCTTGAAGATAAAGTATAAACTGTAAAGTTTTTTTTTTTTTTTTCCCGAAAAGTGCTATAAAAAACTAGTTCGGAGGACAGATAAAATCTGTTGTAGACCATGCATGCTGGTGGAGAGGAAAATCTGGTGCAGTGTAGCACATCACAATTTTATCTGAGTTTGTTTATTTAAAACCGACAGAATACTGATCAACTGTTAAGCCGTGATGTAGATAGAACGATGCATCCATCTGATCTAATTTTCATTTCTATTAAAGCTATGAGAATGTTAATCAAAAGCGAATTCAAATTTAATTAATTAAAAAATAATTATAGTAATTAGGTTGTAATTATAAATAATTGGTGTAAAAGAAATTTCTGTACCTACTGTCAGACAAAGTGTCTAACTAATAAATCTTTTAAGCTTTTGAATCTTTCAACTGCTTCCATTCCATCAGCTGACCTTTTGTTTATCGATTTTTCTTTTTCTTTCTTTTGTTGATTGCTGGAGAAAGGAAATAATTGGTTGACCAATGGATAGGAGTGGAGGACTTTGAAAACTTTGGCATCTGTCAATTTTCCAACAGACACGCCGATGAATATTCATATAAGCTACTAACTTTGCCACTGGAGATGGAGGATTCAGGCATATTTGTTTCGCAAATTCAGCCCCACGAGTGGCCGGAACAAAGCCGGCCATTGAAGGGTCAAAGCTTTTAACTTCTATTGATAGATATTTTCTTAGATGAAATCGAATCGAATACTAAAATTTGGTTCGGTTTAAATTATTTTGTGTAAATTTGGATTTATTTTTTGGTTTAATAAAAATAAAACTAAATCAAAACAATTTCAATTTTCTTTACTAAAACTGCAATAAAATTGAGATTTTAAAATATCAAACCAGTTGGGATGGAACCGGCTCGGTTTGATTAGGTTCAATTTTCAACTTTGTCCCAAATATTGCTCACCCCAAAAATCATTCAAGTTGATGGGAGAAAAACGTCCCATCAGCTGATCTAGAACCTTTTATCAAACAATGTTAGTAGTTTTTTTTATTAGATATACAAAAATAACTTATTCTCCTAATTCATTACAACTATCCGATTAAAAGCATATTTGCTATGAACAATTATTATTAGCTAAATTAAGGTTTAATTATAAATTTAATGTCTAAATTTTCAAAAAAAATTTATTTCAGTGTTTCAATGGAAAATACTTGCAGTCAAGTGTCGAAATCGATAAATTTTTTTTAATCAGGTGTTTCCATTCTACATGGCTTGCCGAAAACATGAATATAGGCTTTTTAGTATAAATTACCTTGACAACAGTAATTTTTCAAAAGTTTAAGCATTCAAGTTATAAGTAAGCTGCTAAATTAAATAGCAGAATACAAAAAGGAAATAATGTAACCTTATTAGTATAAGTTACCTTGACAATAGTATCTATAATTCTATAATATCTATCTATATCTATCTATTTATACTATATATAAATGTCGCAATAAGGGAGGGAAAGTAATGAGATTTTCGATATCGGCCTTAATAAAATTCAGAATATCCTAAAATAGCCTTAGTCGTAGCTAATTCAAAAATTACATTTTCTATCGATGAGTATCTGGATGAGTGGTTCAACACTCATCTCCCTTAAGTGAGGTCGAGAGTTCGATCCTCATAGATGGAGTAAATTCTACGAGTGTTTGAATAAGTTGTTCATCACTCTTCTCCCTCAAGTGAGGTCGAGGGTTCAATCTTCATAAATAGAGCTAAATACTAGCTGTAAAGACTTTATCCTTTCTTGGACCGACCCGGTATGAATAGGATTTCGTTCTAGCCCGTAGCCTCGAGATACCTGTGGTTAAGACAAAAAAAATTACATTTTATTATTTGACTGGATATAATTTCTAAAAATTATTTTTTAAATAAATTCATATAGATGATAAAAAAGAAAAACGTATACTCTTCTTTTTCTGTATGGTTTTAGGGAAAATTAAGGGTTTATTCGGCGATGATAGAACATTTCTTCTATGTAATCTTTTTTATTAATTAATTAATTTATTTATTTATTCATTTTAAATTTGCAATTTAGAAAAATAGAGTCACAAAATTAGATTCTAGCATTATTTACTTTGTAATTTTCATTTATTGACTTGGCTATAATCTTTTTCTTTTATCTATCAACATCAAATTTCATTAAATTTCAGCATTTCCAATTAAAGAAGGGATTGACTTTTGAAATTCAAATTGGTAATTTTTTTTAATATAATTTATTTCTTGTTATATGTTGAGTTCAGAAAAGGGTTATATTCTTAATAACAATTTTTTATTTTTTACTTTCTTTTTTGTTACTGAATTAATTTGTAACTACTGTCCTTTTAATTTAGTAATAGCTTTATATCTGTCTTGCAATAAATAGATGACCTCTTGGTAATTAAATATTTTTTAATTTTCTTAATATTTTTTCTATTATATTTCTGTTTGACTTAAAAGAATATAGTGCTTATAAAGCTGGAAAGAAACTAGAACTATACAAGCTAATGAATCTACTCGCACTTTGTTGCTGGCCTCGTCTTTAATATTTTTTTCATTTAAAATTAATTTTATTGATACGATTGCTATTTATTGTGTACTCAAATTTTTATATATTTTTTCATGGAAAAAGAATATTCATTTTATAAATTTTTTGTTTTACTATTTTTTATTGTAAAAAATTATTAAAATTTTATACAAAAGATTCATTTTTATACCTTTAGATTTTTGGAGTTTTTCTTTTCAAAGAAAAAAACTGTTGGTATTTTAACTATCAAGAAATTAAAAAAAAAAGATTACTTACCATAATTTTTTCATATTTTTTACTTTTATCATTGAACAAATACATAGAAGATATAGAAATCCAAAAAAAGTTAGTGCTAAGTAATTATTTTAATTTGCTTAATATTATAGTTGCTTAATTTTTTAACATTTGGCTTAATATATATGTTTGCGAAAGAAATATAAAAATGCTAAAGCAATTATTTTGGCGATTGGAATATGTTTTTAAAATAAAATGCTATAAATATAAAAATGCTAAAGCAATTATTTGGCGAATTGGATAGTTTTTAAAATAAAATGCTATAAATTTTTAATTATATATCTTTAAAGTAAGTTTAGTAATATTTAGACTTAAACTTATATCGAGTCAGTTCTATATAAACAAAAAAGATAAATTATTTCTAATTATCACAAATTTTAAACTTATAACGCTAAATATTGAAAAAGTAAGTATGTGGTCACTAAGTGTTAGAAAGACGTTAAAACAGAATTGTGATGATAAAATGTTAAACATAAATAGGGGCAAAATAGTAAAATGGAAGCTAAAACATAATTCATATGTTATTGTTCTACAATGTGGCATTCCAGCCGTTACTTGGTAGATGAAAAATAACTTTTAGTATAGGACAAAATGCCAAAAGATGAAAAAGGACATGGTTTTATAGGAATAAAACTGTTCTATTGAACAGTGTTTTTGGGTTTCATTTTAGTATATATATAATAGTTCTATTCTAGATCACTTTTTGGGTTTCAAGAATTTATGTACAGATATATGTATTCTTTTCTCTAATGTACTGGGTAAGTAATGCTGTCACAATAGCCAAAGTAATTATCATTATCAATTTAAATCATTTGCTCATTTATTTTCTTTATCAAAGTAAAAAATAGTTTACTATTAGCTTTCATCATAGTTGTACATAGATATTGATTTGTGGTCGAGAGCAGTAGGTTGGAGATTGATGATGACTTTTTTTTTTGAAAACTTATTAAGGTTTTAAAATCTGCATTTATAAATTAGGGACTGAAGGATTAAGTATAGGAATTGAGTTTAATTTTATTTTGAGACCACTTTGTTATAGACAAACTAGAATTAAATACATAAAAAGCAACATTGGCAGTAATTTCTACGACAAAATCTAATACAAATTAAGCAATTGATTTAATTTAATTTAAACAAAAACTTATACTTTAATATTATATACATAAAAAAATTAAAAGAGTACAAATATATAACGAGCACAGTCAACATGCAAGGCACATCATAAAAACGATTAGTACTATATATAAATATGGAAATCAGGAGGAGAGGGAGGGGGAATAATGAGATTTTCGATATCGCCTTCAATGAAGTTTAGAATATCCTAAAATATCTTTAATCATAACCAAATCAAAAATTATATTTTATACCAATGAGTATTTGGGTGAGTGATTCGACATTCTTCTTCTTTAGGTGAGGTCGAGGGTTCAATTCTCATAGATAGAGCAAATACTCGCTGGGAACACTTTTCCCTCCCTAGGCCGACTGGTGCGAGTAGGTTTTAGTTCTAGCCTTGTGGGCTCGGGATATCTGTAGTTAAGATGAAAAGAAAAATTATATTTTATTATTTGATTGGATATAATTTTTAAAAATTATTTTTAAATAAATAAATATAATATAATAAAAAGAAAAAAGTATATTTTCTTTTTTTTATGGTTGTAAGAAATTAATGGTTTATTTTGGAGATGATTATAACGTTTTCCTTTTATGTAATTTTTTTATTATTTAATTAAGCTTATTTATTTTTAATTTGCACTTAGAAGATAGAGAAATAAAATACTTGAATGAACTCATTTCAATTGACAATATTGGAATCTAGCATGATTTTTGTTTTTGTAATTTTCATTTATTTTTTTTTTTTTTTTTTGTCCATCGAAATCAAACTTAATTAAATTATAGCATTTTCAGGGTTATTTTTGAAATTTAAATTGGTAATTTTTTAATATAATTTATTTCTTGTTATATGGTGAGTTCTTAAAAGAGTTTTTTCTTAATAAAAATTTATTTATTTATTTTTTTGTTATTGAATTAATTTTTAACCACTATCACTTTAACTTAGTAAAAGATTTATATATCCGTTGAAATAAATAGTTGGTTAAGCATAGTGAAATTCAAGGAAAAGCATAAATACTACATTTCAATACTTAATTTACATTCATATGATACTATGTGTGCATTTATTGAGTAGTATAGAGTTAATATGAATATTCATTTCATGTTACACTATCTTAGAGGAAATGATTGAAAGATAAGTCAATAAGCAGAGGAGTAAGATTAGGAGAGCCTTCTGCCTCAGGTTAGTGCACTATATCTATAACTTATGTTGTTTAGGTAATAAGTAAAATTGTTTTGAAGAAATTTTTTATGAAAAGTTACAAGGTAAAACAATATGCTAAGCTTACAATTTTATGAGCTTTTACAAGAGAAAATTTTGATTTATTTATCAAATGTTTAAAATGTTTATATCAAATGAAATTGAATTCAAATGTGATTATTGCATTTATGAATTGATTATAAAGAAAGCAAATGCTAAAGTTATAGTTAAATGTGTTTTATCCAAAATAATAAAGAGCTAATGTTAAATGTTTTATAATAGTTGGAAATAAATTTTAAGTACTCATTTGAATGGATATAAAAATGGTTGAGCAAAGAAAATGCTGCTCATTATGGTTAATGATTGATTTCTAGTGGAGATATTTTAAAAGTCTCACAGCTAAATGTATAACATGGTTATTACCTTATATCACTTCATTTGTTGAAGTTGATATCGTGATTGATATGGCTATGCAATAAATGATATTGCAAATGATATTGTTCCCTCTTAAATGAGCTTGACATTGTCCCTCTTTTATTAATATTCATATCATAGATTGAGATTAAGATAGTTTTGTCTTGATGAGCTCATAAGACACTAATGGCAGTGGAGACAAAACTACTGATTAATGATTATTGATATGTTATAATATCTCCATTGAATGAATTGATTGATTATTTTTGGTAAGCAAATGAATGTGATTTAGTTGATATGACTACTTCTTATTTTTATCTAACTGATTTGTTTTCAGTAAGCAAATGATAAGTATTGATCTTGAAAGAGATAATGTTGAAAATTGTTTTTCACACTTAAATATCTTAAATATCTAATGGGGAATTATCATTTATATTATGTAATTAATATAGTGCACTACTAAGCCTTATGCTTAGCGATAGTTGTTCTCTATACTATCGCAGGAAAAACGAAAGGAGAAGTAGGAGAGTATGTTCGACAAAATGTTGAGTTTTTTCTACAGCTTTCAAAAGGTGAGCTACTGATGTAGACATTGTCTTATGAATAATTTTATTGGAATTTGTATGATGTATAAAATTGAGAGGGCTACTGATATATATATTGAGCAGACTAATGCAATTGAAGTTATATGAATTTACAATTACTAATATACATTATAAAGCACTCGAATGCTTTACTTACCTTTAAAACTAATTTATTGTCTTAATAACAACTCTAAAGGAACAATCCAGTATGTAATCCTCTTTCTAATGGGCTTATGGGTAATGATTTCACCAATGTATTTGAGTATGTAAATGTGTAATTTATAATGACTTTTAGTTAAAATATTTAAAATAATGGAATATTATATCTTTTATAAAAAAAAAATTTATTGAGTTCGAGATTATTATAAAAGTGAGTTTTATAATATCTAAAATGTTTCAAATAGTATTTGAAATTATTACCACACATACATTTTGAATATGAAAAGTTAAGGTCCTTATAATATGTTTATTGAGTTCTTATATAGACTAAGTGTTTGATAAATATATTACAAGTGATATGTTATGTCTACAATGGGGCAAGGTGTGACAATGCGTCTCGCCAAGCTCTATATTTATAGACGATGACTTGCTTGGAAGTTATTCTGACGTGCTTGTTTCATGGCACTGCTCCAACCTTTTCTTTGCATGGGTACCAATATTCTTCTGTAAAGTGATAAGTCGACGTACATTGAATGGTAACATAAATGAGTTGTTTTTCGCTAAATGCAGACTTAATCTCAGGAATTGCATAGGCGAGAAAAGACAGGCTATCGCTTAAAATACGTTTAGGGCATAAGAGATTGCCTAAACTTAATTTTAGGAGGGCAGGCGATGACCTAGGCTTGGTTTTCTTTTCTCGATAGGCTATCGCCTACTTCTTGATATAAATGGACATAATCGACAGGCTTTGTCTACTGCATGCCTCTTTACTTTTAATGCCTAACGACTTTAGTTTTAATTTAATTCAAGTCCAAATTAAAAAAAAAAATTGTGATTTTTGGAATTGATTTGATTATTTATTTTATTTGCAAATTTGATTTTTATGAGCGTTCTAAAAATTATTTGAAATAAAATTTATTAATAATTTTTCAAATTCTTATTAATTATTTTTTTTTTAAAAACGCGGATTTTCCAAACTGTTTTAGAATTGCTGCCAAAATGAACAGTTGTCTGAAAGCCCCAAACTAGCGGTTCAAGTTGAAAATTTTAGAAAAACTTCAACTAATGGTTGGGTCAATTTGATTAATACATATTATATAAATATTATTTAAAAATAATTATTAATAAAAGGGAAATGGAAAGAAAAACCAAGTTTGAGTTTTCAATGCGTCGTCCGTGTTACCAGAACAGAAGAACAGATAACTGAGATGGAAGGAAGGGAAGTTAATGATACAAATGGACTCCAACATGAAGAGGAAGAAAAAGAAGAGTGTGGGGTAATATTAGAAATTCCATTAGGCATAGCAGCAGAGACATTTGATTTTAAGAAAACAGTATGTAGCCATGGCTTATTCGCTATGTCCCCAAATCAGTGGGACCCACTCTCCTACACCTTCTCTCGTCCTCTTCGTCTCCGTCATCATTCTGATTCTGAATCTGATTTCACTTCAGTTATGGTTTCAATATCTCACCCTTCTAACCTCCCTCACTCACTCCTTGTTCGCGTGCACGGTACTCGCTCTCTCACCCCACAAAATCGAGAATCGCTTGTAACTCAAGTTTTGAGGATGCTGAGATTGTCAGATGCTGATGAGATGAATATTAGAGAGTTTAGAAAGATTATTGCAATGGGAGAGGGAGAAGAATTTGATTGGATGAAAGGTTTTAGTGGAAGAGTGTTTAGGTCTCCTACTTTGTTTGAGGACATGGTGAAGTGCATTTTGCTCTGCAATTGCCAGTAATATTTCTTTTATGTTGTTCTCCTTTCCATGCTAATTTCTTGCCTTTTACATGTTTGTCATATTGTCGCTGAGAGCTGCAAGGAGGATCTTCAAACTTGTTTTAAATTTTTTATTATATAACTAATCACTAAAACAAGTCTTAAACTTTTGCTTTGCTCTCAATTTTAGCTTATACTCTCATATTTTGTCAACTAACTTTTAAGATTGTCTTAATAAATAATTGTTTTTTTTTTTTTTTCTGAATATAAAGGATAATATCTGACTTTTCAGTTACAGAATCGAAGAGCAATAAATAAGACTTTGTTATCTGTTTTGAAGTTTCAACTTGATTGTTTGATTAAATGCTTAAATTGTTCTTTTAGTAGTTTTAAGAAAAAAAATTCATTGTTTTCTTTGATTATGTAAGCAAATTACATCTTTCTTTTTTCATTGTACTTCGAAAATTATAAGATTACTCTTGATTTTAGTTGTAATTGATAAAATTTCAGAAGTCCATATGTTTAATTGTTCAAATAAAAAAAAGGCTAAAACTGAAAACTTTTTAGTAACTGAGTCTAATTTTTCTTTTTCTTTTTCTTTTTTTTTTTTTTTTTTTTTTTGTTTTGTTCGGTTTTTTTTTTTTTTTTTTTTTTTTGGGTTTTGTCGGTTTTCAAATTCGTTTCGCTTTTAACAACATAGGTGGTCAAGGACTCTAAGCATGGCTAGAGCTCTTTGTGAGCTTCAACTGGAACTGCAGTTTCATTCATCCAGCTGCACTAAGGCTCAACAAACTGACATGAACAATTTCATTCCAAAAACACCTGTTGGAAAAGAGTCCCAGAAGAGGAAGGGCAGAGTATCTAGTGCATCCTCAAATTTATCAACCAAGTTGCTGGTAACAAAAATGGATTGGGACGAAGTTGATACTTGCTTGACAATGGTTGATACCCGAATAAAAAGAGAAAATTTGACCCCGAACTTCTCTATTAATAGCATAGAAGACAATTCATGTGGCATTTGCAAGTCATGTGTTGGACCGTCTGGTATTCAATCTCTCCAGCAGACTCAGTGCAAAAGAATTTGGAATTTTCCAAGCCCATGGGAACTAGCAAATCTTGATGAAAGATTTCTGTCGAAGCGCTGTGGTCTTGGCTATAGAGCAGGTCGGATAATAAAACTTTCTCAGGGTATTGTTGAAGGGCGGATTCCAATGAGAGAACTTGAACAAGTTTGCAATGGTGGAAGCTTAAATAGTTATAATGAACTGGCTGATCAGCTCAAAGAAATTGATGGGTTTGGTCCTTTCACACGGGCCAACGTGCTTATGTGCATGGGATTTTATCATGTTATTCCTGCTGATTCTGAAACTGTTAGACATATAAAACAGGTATCCCTTTGTTTTTTTTATCATTCTTTTGTTAATTATTAAGAAATACTTTGAATTTCTGAGAGTTGTCAGTGTAGGTTCATGCCAAAAATTCCACCATTCAAACAGTTCATAAGCATATCGAAGAGATATATGGAAAATATACACCCCTCCAATTCTTAGCTTACTGGTATTAACCATAACTGCATGATGTTATCCAATTGTTCCAAGTAGATCGCTTTCCTCAGTTTGTTTTCTATGTTTTCAGGACGGAATTGTGGCACTTCTACGAGCAAAGGTTTGGGAAGTTCTATGAAATGCCTTGCTCTGAATATAAACTCATTACTGCCAGTAATATGAGAAACAAGGGAAGTTGTAAAATCAAGAGAGCTAAAATATCTTGATAGAGTGACCATGACTTAAATTAAATGTGAAAGTGAGTGAAATTTGTTTCTGTTGTTTATAATTCATGTTTACCTTTTGGTTTATTGCCTTATTCTCGGTTTATATGCACATTATACCAACTTTTCCTTTTATCATTTTCCTTTTATTACCCTGAATGTCTAATATACTGAGACATACCAAGTCTTTTTCATTACAAATACTGATGTTATGTATTTTCTTTTCAATTTTCAGATTTGAAGGCCATACTTTGCCAACTGCAATAAAGAAATCGTCCCTTTTGTTATTTGTCCGCATTAAGTTTCTTTCTAAAATTTGTGAACTCCAACACTGTCTTCATTCTGTATATGATGCTTTATGTTATCAACACATCACTTCTGCTTTACGCATGAAAGCGGCCGGGGTGTACACTATACTTTCATTCAAATCTTAATAATTAACGGAATCGGTATCAAACAAGCTAGGGATTCGCGCCTTGATTGTCCGCGAAAGCCGTAGCCCTTTAATTGCTTAGGAGAACCGGCCTTATTTAGTAAAAGCCTTTTCTTGCTGATGATGGAACAGCAAAGTAAACAATCAATGGCGAGAACTGATGACTCTGAGTAGCATTGCTTCAAATGAGCTTATTTTAGGTGCAGTAAGATTGCTTGAAAGAGAAAAAACTTGTGTGTCATCTACCCTCTGATCAGCAAATTAGTTATCAGGATATATTTGCTGTTATGGCTAAGATTTAGTTCATGTAAAGTTCCCTTGACTGTGGTTGCTAACGAAAGGTTGCACACTACTACCAACTAGATATGCATTTGGGCTAAGCCATGGAGAAATGAAGGGGAATTTTGGGATTTCTGCTTAGCCATTCGCGTGGAACACAACTGGTAGGTCCTTTTAATCCATGTAAGCTGCCACATAAAGCTAATATGGAACCACGTTTGCAAAATCAGCAATCTTGTAAGCAAAATCAGCAATAGGCACTTAATTGATTATTTTAAAATATTTGAACACTTAATTGAAAATATTTTTCAGTCAGACACTCAAACAGAAAAATTTGAAAAGTTCATATACTAAAATTATTATTATCCCTATTTTGTATAACATGTGGTAAAAAAATTATTATAATTATAAGGTGAGTTGAATATTAGACTATATAAAACGTATTTTATTAAATTGATTTTAGGTTATTAATTTTATTTCGATGTAATATTTTAATTATAATATTTATATATAATTAGGTACTTTTGTCTTTTCAATCTCACATTTCATTAACTCAGCTTTATTTTGGGAATTCAATATATTGACCAAATATAATTATGAACTTCGTTGGACCTCTACTTCCTAAAAAATAAATCAATTTAAACCAAATGAAATTACTAATGTCTATATATTTTGAAACAGATTTTTATATGTTACGTTAATGCTCTTTTTCTTAGAGTTTGATGATTGATATTAATGTGCTTTAACAATGCTAACGGAAAAAAACATTTATTTTTATTTCTCTAGGTAATGAATTAACTTTTATTATTTTGAATAAAACGATATATTATTAATAAAAATAAATATGATGGATTATTTGATTTAGTTTTTAAAAAATACATGGACCATTTTTTAGAAGGAAAAAAAAATATCTGGATTTATTAACTAAGTTAAATAATAAAAATTCAATTATAATTTACATAAAACGTTAGAAAAAGAAAGAAAAGAAAACAGAAAAAAACAACACTATGGTTTATTTATTTATTTTTTATTTTTCTGAGAAAAAGAAATGGCTTAAAATGTTAATTCGCTGTTCAAAGTCGTTAATTCTAGAGTTCTCTTCTCTGCTTTCTTATACAGCCCGAGCAGACAGAGAGACGGATACCTAGTCGACCCCTTCAAACCCTAGAGGACTGTTACTGTCCGACAATTGATCGAAACCCCTATCTCCACCGTTACTTAATTCTTGTTCTCGACGGTAACTCCCTCTCCTTCTATCTTTTTTCTCTTTTTACTTGCTTCTTTATAGTTATTTTTGTTCTTTATTTTTGTGCTTATGGCAGAACAGCACTCGTGGTTGACAGTTTTGATCTTGCAACGGAGAAGCTAGCAGATGGAGGATTGGGGTAAGATTTTTCTTCTTGAAAATTTCTGAACCCTTTAACATTTCTTATGGATAGTCTCATAGTTCAAGATTTAGTTTATAATTCAAAAAGAATTTATTATCTGGGCAATCAAGGTGAAAGGCTTTTTTAGGGATTGAGATTAGGTGGCTGCAATTGGTTTTTAATGCTAATTGAATGATGGAAGAGGTAACTTGCTAGATTATTAAGGCAATTTGTGTACTCTAGGGCTTTGGAATCTACTGCCTTGGTAACTAGATTCACTTGAAATGTCTTGAGTATCTTATAGCCAGTGACTTCATGAAATTAACTGGTTAAGTGTGAGATTTAAGTGAAAGATTCTTTTACTTATGGTCGTCTCAAATGAAATTTTGTCTACACTTGTCATCCTGATGTTCCATCTGAGTAGGTGATCTGCAAAGTAGTTTGTTCCTCCATATTGTCTTCACCATTAGAAGAATGGAGTTTGCTATCTACTGAACATTTGATAAAAATCTTTGGATGGGTGAGAGCAACACGATGTGGCAAAATTTGCTGAAATTAAAGAGATTGACTAAAATTATAATTATTTCCCTTATTCATTTGTTTGAAAGAAAGGAGAAAGGAAATTTTAATGCAGTATCCTGAAAGTTCATGGATGGAAAATGATATTTAGTCCTTTCTCCACTTAGAATTCACAATCTTGCTTTGTGCAATGCAATAAGTATGCTCTGCTTTCTTATCTTAAACTTTGTTCATCTAATTGTTTAATTTTACTGACATGTATGCTTTTTTTAGAGGATGAACAAATTCCACCTCTCCTTTTAAAGGAGCAACCTAAAAGCAAATGGGACGATGAAGACGTGGATGACAATGATGTGAAAGAATCATGGGAGGATGAAGATGAACCAGCTCCGGTATGCTTGATGAAGTGATCATGATTTATATTACATAATATTTTAGCAGATGGTTCTTCCTAACTGTGCATACCATACCTAAAGCATCAATGTTGACAGTAATCCATTGAAGGAGAGACCTTGATATTATTTAGTAGTGAGCCAATTTCTCAATGCATTTCCTAGGAAACAATAGGACTTCGAATGTGAATTCATCAATGTGAAATTTAAGGATTTTTTTTTTCTGAAAGTCGATGTGACTACTTCGTCATCACAAATTCATAATAATCTTCTTGATGTTTTGATGTGACATCATGTATAAATGCTTCCATATGTCTTTTCTATGCTTCTAGCTTTCAACCGGTGGTAACCTGTGGGCATGTTACATTAATGTTGTCGCTTTTATTATTGATGAGAATTGAAGAAAAAAATGGTTTGTGCTGGAATAATAAGTAAGAGAAAAAAATAACTTCTGAAGAAGATATCGACCAAATATTGATCCAATCAAAATCTCTGAGGGTTGACCATGTTTGGGTCTGCTTCCGAATGTGCTCCTATCCTTTGTACCACACAGCTCCATGCAACACAGAACAGGATCTCCTAGCATTGTCAGTTTGGCAAAGCGCCTTATCCTCTCTCTTTCTTATCTTGGTTGCATGTGTCAGAAATAAAAATAAAAATAAAAATCCAATCTCTGTTTCACATCCTCAAGAGTCCTTGATTTTTAGCATTACGCACTTCTGTTTTCACTTAACCTGCTACTTGATCCTCATAAATGGCATTAAGAAAGAACTCTAAACGTATAATTCCTCTTTTTTTGCAAGCATGCTATGCTTATATCCAATTGTGAAATACTCTTGTAATGATATCTTATATCTGTTCATAAAAAACATCGGTGAGAAGTGAAAATTAGCAGTTTCTGTAAGTGTCCATCGTGCGTTTATCGCAAAATTCTTCGTGGGTCATGAAACCTTGATAACTGACTTGTTCATAGAATAGTGTTTCATTCTCTCAAAACCTTAGAACTTAAATTTTGTTGTGTGCTTGTGGCAATTGAGTTCCACTGTTACTTAGTATTGCCATTTGATTTATCCTTCTATTATTTCGTGTAATGGGATCAGGCACCTGTAACACAGCCTCCTCCTGAAAAACCCTCTAAGAAACCCGTGACAAAATCTACAGAGAAGAAAGGGAAAACTGTTGAAGTAGCAAAGGAAGAGCCTGAACTTCTAGATCCTGTTGCTCAGAAACTTCGCCAACAACGGTACCAAAATGATATTTTTTATTTCTTCCATCTTTGTTGATCTTTTTTATATCATTTTTAATTTTAATTGGGACAATAACATGAAAATGTAAAATCACCTGTATACAGACAAAAGTATCATATATTATTATTATTGTCATTCCCTGTTATGACATTCACATTCGAAATTTAGAAGGTTTTGGTAGATAGAAGGAAATAGGTATGTGGTTTCATCTTTGGTGTGAAACAAAGTTTGGCTGTATGCTCCTGGAATTAATATCTGAAATCGGGGAAAATATGAGACAAAATCTGATCTGGGCAATTGTATCCAGCCTAGTTCTCCTCAATAATGAAACCTGGTAAAGAATGTTATCTCACCCTCTGAAATGTGCTCAATGGATACAGAAGAATTGATGATATTCTCAAAATTACTTCTAGTCCTTGTTGGCATTGGATGTCTAGATAGATCTCAGGACACTGTTTCATCTATGCAATCAATACTTTTGTCAACTCATGAAATAGTAGTAAATAACTTTGACTCATGGGATGAAACTATGTTCCCTTTTAGGTTTCTAGCAGTTAATGATACTATCAAAATGCATTTAGTGTAGAGTTAGAAGCTAAATAAGGCATAGCAGTGACTGAGAAAAATTTCTAATACCATCTCTAGTAAGCTGGATTGTAAATTGAAATATGCGACTCTCGAGAAGGAAAGGGAACTGGCATCTTGTCCGCAGATAGATGGAGTGTGGTCGTGTCCTTGGCATGACTTATATCTCCTTCAATTTTGATGGGCCCAAAGAAGAAAATAACCTCTGCTTAGCTTGTTCCTGTTCCAAAGTATTATGCTATCACCACCTGGCACTCCAGGATGATCATGTGTACAT